AAAATATTTGACCCTGTTCTCATATTTATTTCGTTCGATTTTTTAGCAGCAAGGACTTTTCAATAGATTCTTCTCAAAAGTACGTTCCTTGAAATGCGAAGTTCGAACCGTCGCAATTACGTTTCGATTCGACGTTATTAGCCAAAATTTTAGGAAAGACTCTTTTATTCTGATATGACTTTTTTTTGTCGTACTTCGACCCCTTTAATTGTAACTTGATTGGAATGTATAAACGCATGATAGTAATTGTAATCCTTTGAAATTGAACATTAAATAATCAAACATTCTTCGAAAGTTTACCTCAAAAAATGAAAGCGATTTGCAACTATCGAATATTTTATCATCCAACGAGCTTTATCAGCTTTTCCCTCTTCTCGTTATAGTACGCCACTGAATATATTTCCTAACAAATAAAAGGAAAATTGACCTTTGATACGAATTCCAATGAATATAGCTTTTCCGGGCGGGGATTGTTCACCAAACTGCGAACGCCGACATGAAACGAAAAACAAATAAAAATAAAATTCGCAGGAAATCCGAGCGGATTATTTTGACGGTCTGGTAACCTTGCTTCCAACATTAGATGCTTAATTGCGTATCAAAGTCAAAAGCTCGAAGGCCAAGTGCCAATATTAAACCGGATGAGTTTAACACATTGAGCAAGAGCAAGATCTTGACATAATTTCGGTAACTTCGTTTTAAACAATCACAAGAGAATGTATGTTCGTGCATGATGGTTTGGAAGTTTTTCCTTTGTTTTCCTCGAGGCAACACGAGAGGAATTGAATATAAAAGTATCGAGCGCAACTTTTTCCGCCTTGTTTTCCTTCAATTTCTTTCAAGTATTGTTCTGCCGCGCTAAGGAAAAACGCTGTATGAGCCTTCAGACGTTGCCAAATTTCTTTCGATAAAAACCCAATTCACAGGAAAAATGGTGAATATGTTTTCCCTAAAACTTTCAGACAATTTTGTACACAATTTAATCTAATATGTCTGAAAATTTCAAAGAAAAATGTGCATGTATGTCGTCAAAAATGCATGTGTTATCAAGAGAAATTTGGCAACTCTCAAATGTTCACACGGCGTTCTTTCTTAACACGGCAGTGTTCTAGTAGTATTATTGTGCTCTCCACACGTCTAGTATTTTTGCAGGGATGAACATGGTGACGAGCCCATTCGATAGCATTGGCGGATCCCGCAAATTGGCAACATTGTTTTTCTCCATATAAACCAATGGGAATGTATCGATCCTCGGAAGGGCCAGATGATCCGATAAGAATCGATTATTTGACATAGTTTTTAATGGAGGAAATCCGGTGTTGCCAAATTGCTGCGTGGATCCCTGGATCCGCCTCCGTTCGAGAATGATGAAATTTCAAAACCCTCGTTTTTCAAAATTTTCGGGGGATGCACGAAAGTGCGGTCCTCATCTGCTGTCCAGAGGACTGATTCTTGAAAACGATAGACAAAGCTATGGATAAATCAATTGACAAAGGAGGAAATAGGGTCTTCCCCCCTACAAGATTGAAGCATTACATATGTATAGTAACTCTTCGAGGAGCTTCCGGAAATTTGAAGTCAGCCCGCCGATCATTCTCCCCCAAGGCACCAACGAAATCGATACATTTTATCGCCAAATTTGGCAATTTTGTGCTCGATAGAATTTATCAAAGGGAAGGGAATAGAGAGGATCGCAAAGGCGTATGCGCGCCAAAATGCGGCATCTATACTGTCGTGCCAAAGGAAGAACGCCGTATGAACATTCGAAAATTACGAAATTTCTCTGGATATAACCTGTTTTTTAATTTTGCAGAATTTTTCTTGAAATTTTCAGATATTTTTGAATGGATTCCGGAATAAATTATCTGAAATTTTTGAAGAAAAATATTCACAATTTTCGTGTGAGGTCGGTTTTAATTGGAAAAATGGCAACGTCTGAAGGCTCATACGGCGATCTTCGGCCGTATAGTGTCGTCACTAAACGTTGCATTGTAACTATACACGTAAGTGTTCAGCAGAATGACCAGGTCTATATTGTACATTTGTTTTTCTTCTTGTTTGCTTTGAACATAGATGATCTATACGTGCTCCACTCAGAAAGAAATATCTATCAAGGTGTTTCAGTTCTTAATTCGCCTTTGTTTAGGGGTCCATTAAGATACAAAAGGTTCTCCTCCACGTTCAAACCAGAGGCTTCAAAGAAGCTCATCGATTATCCCGACATAAACCGCTGGCCAATGAAAGGACCGTAAGAGGCATCAATGAGCCTCTTTGAGAGCGTCAGTTTGTGCGTGGAGATAAACCTAAACGAAAATGCTGTCGTGCTAAGGAAAAGCGTCGTATGAGCATTTAAATGTTGCCAAACTTCCTCCCAAAAAATAATTATTTTTGGAGAAAGTCATGAATATTTTCCCTTGAAATTTTCAGACTTATTAGATAACTCCTCGAACAAAATCTATGGAAAAATCTAAAGAAAAAGATTTAAAAATTTTCCTGTAAACTCGTGATTTGTCCAAAGAAATTTTGCAACGCCTCGTGGCACATACTACTACATTTTAAAAACATTCACATTTTTAAAACGTAGCAAATATTTGAAAAACCTTTTCTAAGCGATGTCATCGATATGAATGCCAATGAGCCGTAGTTCTATTGAAAGGAACTATACAATAATGAATATAAGAATAAGAGGAAAAAACCATAAAGCATACAATCTTCGGTTTTAATCCATTTGTACATCGATCTTTTAGAGTCAAATACGTCAAATTTTAAGGGTTTGGTTGCGCGTACACGATGCTGCAGCACAGTAAAAACACAAAATATAAAAGAAAAAATTAAACTGCCTTAGAAATAATTAAATTTGACACGGAGCCACCTTAATATTTACTAAACACACAGTATATATTCCTTTAAAATATATTTTTTCATCAATATAAATAAGAATAATTCATGCGAAGTGTGCAAACATTTCAAAATCCTGAGTTGAAAAACGCTGACTCTGCGAGTTAAAACATTAGAGCCAAACACAGAGCGGAGCGGCGTGCTGCCAGCGCGACACGCGCACTGGCGCCTACAAACCTGACATGGATACTTCACGCATTGCGCAATGCGTGAAGTATCCCTGTTAGGTTTGTAGGCGCCGATGCGCTGGTTGCCCGTGTACGGCGGGCCGCGGCGCGGCGCTTCAAGCAACTATTTCGCAACAGAGGTGTTGCACAGTATCATACTAAATTGAAGGCTCTCTAAAATAGTAAGAACGACAGGCATCCTATAAGAGTACGGCGTTTTCTGAAAAAATAAATCAAGGCACGATGGCACAAAGAGAGATCGGTAGTCCAAAAACTCACTAAAATCTAGCATCCGTATTCAGGTTTAGCATAATTTTTGAATTTCATTAGAGAGAAAAGTGACTCGATTTAGGCAGAAACATTCTTGAGTATGCTGTCAGGAAGATTTTATTTTGAATCGAGAATAAAATTGCTTAATGAAAGCGGGGTTCTGCTTGAATCAAGTCGCTTTTTCTTCCAATGAAGCTCAAAAATTGTCACCAGCAGTTTATAGCAGTAAACAGTTTACTTCACCAGCAAATTAGACAGCGCTGGAACTGAATTAAGGGGAGCCAGACACTTGAAAATTGAAAAAAAAGGTTTTTTTTTTTTTTATTTTCTGGCTAATTTTAATCTCCAACTCCTCACGTTTAATTTCAGACCAAGTTTTACTTGATTTGACGAGTAGTGTGGAAGTTACGCGCGTTTTAGTGAGGGAGGGTTTGCAGTTTTTGAAGTCAAAATTACACTAAAACTCAGGTTGCTCGGCCCTCCCTCGTTATGTTCTCTCCTGTTTTAATTCCTCATTTCTCGAAAACTACGTTTTTCAGCACTCATGTACCTTTTTCTCAGGATCTACTGAACCGATTTTCAAAAACTTTGTTTTGTTCTTATCCTTGCACTCTCCTGCACATTTTCACACGAGCTTTTTCAAAATTTCGAGCTGGATTTTTTTATTTTGATTTCAAATGTCCAAATTCTATGATTTCTAACCAAAAAATTTCAAAAATTCACCAAAATTTCAAATTTTTAAATTTTAAAAAAAGCCCGTGTTAAAATGTTTAGAAGGGTTCAAAGTTCAAAAAAAAAAAAAGAGAAGTAATTTTTGTTCAGTAGATCCTCAGAAAAAGGTACAAATGTTAACATTGGGAAGATAGGGTGTCTGGCTCCCCTTAAGATATAATAGCTAAGCGCCCTTACAATAAGTTAGTGTCGCATCCGATGAACACCAAACGAATTGCATTATAACACCTGGATGCAACTATTCGGACTCCGTAGATGTCCGTGTATGTATCAGCAATACGGTCGATTAACCAAGTCCTTTTGGTTGATCTAATCGAAAAAAAATTTAACCTTAACGCAACCATAAGCATGAAAGCTTCTCTCATTAACTGTGTGTATGCTTCAAACCATCCCAACTCCGATATTAATTTGCATTTTCCGCCCAATATGTTTGTAGAACACAGTCCCCAGACTGTGATGCCAACAAGTCTACTTTTTTTTTTTTTTTTTTTTTTTTTTTTTTTTTTTTAATCAGCAAGAAAAAATTAATCATATTTACATAAACTTGTCAACAACTCTACTTAGACTTATTTTGAATTAAAATTCATTTTCTTTGTGGCCGATCAAATTCAGACACTGCCTCATACCAAATATTATATGTCGATATTATTAGCCTGCGTAAGGAAAGTTGCAAGCAATTCATAATTTCGCAAAACAATCGTGCCCTCCTTCAAGTTTCACATTGGACAGCACTCTCACTCTTGTATATTTAAAGATACCTAAAAAAAACACGACCTTTTTTTACCAGGTTTCATAACAGAGTAGAAAAAGCACTAACTACGAGTGGTTTTAAAACAGAGCCCGCTCTTATTTTGATTGGCGACGCATTCCAACAGACGACGAATTCGGGTTTCACTTGATTCCTCCTGGCAGAAATAGAAAACCGAAGAAGGGATGAAAACCCAGACCGTTTTTGAGGACTTATTCTCTGAAAATCCCGTGCGATCCTGCGTGCCAATCCAAGAGCTTCACCCCGATCATCCCTTCCATGAACCTTTGACCGGGTGCGTAGGCAACGTGCCTTCCAATCTATTTAGAGGCTTTGCGTCCCCGGTATGTTATACTTAAAGCGTCTCAGGCCCAAGTTATCAATGTGGTTTCCCCCTCTCTGTCGAGGTTGCCGGTAGCGCTATCTTGTGGAATTGATTGTTTTTAAAGTTTACATTCTGATTGTTGGTCAGAATCGGTTAGAAAAGTTTAATTTTTTTTTTTACTACTATTACTCAATTAAGAATTTGCATGCAAATTTTTTATTGCTTTATCTGAAAGTGTTTAAAGAGCTGATTTCACAACATTTTTCTGATGTGGGAAATAGTATAAAAATAGATTTAAAAGTGACCGCCTAGTGACGTCATCTGGAGGCATTTCTCATATAAAAACGTATTTTGGCAGATTAGATCATTTTGTCAAATCTTCTCAAATAATTGTTGAATTCATAATCCAAGGGTATCCTCGTGTTTATTTCACTCAGTAGTTTCCACCTAAACACGAAATTTATCAAATTTCGGACACCTGCAGATTCTCTATTGCATGTTATTAATTTGTAATGAGGGTGCGTTTCGGTAATTCATAAGTGCGTTTTGCATCGTAGTGATCGCGTTTTGCGTAGTAATAAGCGCGTTTCGCGAAGGAATAGTGATCGTTGGACTGCATTTTACAGTGAAGAACTACTAGTTCTGGCTCATTTTTGAAATGACATACGTGTCAATTGATGCAGTGCTGTAATAAATGAGCCAGATGTAGCAATTCTTCATTGCAAAATGCAGTACAGTTTTAAAGCGCAAAAAAGGAATGAATTAAACAGATGAAAAAAAAAAAATCAGGAAAAATTAATCACATAAAACCGAACACATTCTGCAATAAGAAACAACTGTTCCTACCAAACTTTAAATACAACATATCGACGGTGCAAGTCGGCAATCACATAACTCGTTTGCGGTGTCTGAAAATCTCCGCAACTATGTTATTTTTTTAAAGGAGAACAAATGGACATGATTCCTTGAAGTTTTTTGCAGAATTTTCCTCGCACATAGAAGAAAAATCACGGCAGTTTTAAAGAATTACCGTTGAGTAGTTTTCCGTTCAAAAAATAAAGTATGACAGGAAGTCTGCGACGTCGCAAACCGAGTTATGTGATTGCCGACTTTCAACGTCGATATATGTCACATAAGTTTTAATAGAAAGATAGGTGCTTTTAAGGATGACTCAGAAATAGAAGTTCTTTAATCCAAAATGTAGTCCATATAGATTTGCACTGCGTTGAATGAAATAAACAAAGTTGTAATTTTATTAGCAAACCGAGAGTAAAGTATTTCTCTGGCTGTGTATGTGTTGTTAGTTTATAATTTTTCCTGCGATCGTAAACCGACTGGTTCACATTGATCCCTAGGAGCTGAATGAGAGACCTTAAACGAAGATCTACGCAAATAGACTGATAACACTCTCCCCATAAATGAATATTCCTAATAAGACCCCTTCAAATGCAAAATGATAACGGTCCCTGAAACGAATGTGGCAACAATGGTTTTACGGCAGCTTTTGACATCAATGGCGGGAAATTGGGCTGGTTCCCTGTGAATGCTGCCGCCTTGAGCGTAAAAGATGCTTTGATCGTTTCATAAACAACCATTAAGCAGATAAGGTTACCTACCTCTCTTCATTCCAACCCGCTTTCGTTCGACAAAGCCCAAGAGGGAAAGTTCCTTCTCCACTGTAAGCTAGAACAATGCACCTGTGCAATCGCGAAAATTAAAGCAGATTTTTCAATTGGAGACCACTCAAATACGTTTTCAAACCATGGCGAACGGATTGATCCATTTGCATTCGTTTTGAAGCTCCACCCTCCTCCAGCCGCAATTTTCGAATTGAAGTTTCAATCGGCAAAAGCGGGGAATTAAACCAGTGACGAATTGTCCTCAGGGCCATTCCACGTCAAGTGTACCAGGCTCGGAACCCGACCCCCTCCGATTTAGCTGAAAATTGGTATACGAGGTCTTAAAAAAGTATATGAACCAAAAGTATATACCTGAAGCTTGAAGTGTAAAAAAAAATCGAAAATCGGAGCGACTGTTTTTTTGGTTAATTTAGTTTGAACATTGAATGGCGAAAAAATAGTAAATTTTAAAAAACCCTAAATTACGGCCATTTAAATAATTTTTAGCTCAATTTCGATGGCAAATTCAGAATTTGCATAAAAATTGGTCTAAAAACATTCTTTTAAGTATGATGGATTGATACAGAGTCTCGCTATATGGAGAGTCGAAGAGAGGGAAGTCGAGAAAACGAGAATCGCTAAAACGGGCTTCTTTGAATATCTCTAAAATTCACCCCATCTTTGGGGGTCGATATCCCGCAAACGGGGCGTCGGATGGGAAAACCCTTCAAAGTCAGTTTCTTAGAATGATGTTAAGACATCGTATACCAATTTTCAGCCAAATCGGAGGGGGTCGGGTTCCGAGCTTGGTACGCTTAACGTGGAATGACCCCTCACAAAAAGTGTATATTGCCTTAAAAAACTCAAGTATACAATTTGGACGTATTTATGCTAAAAGGAACTATGTCACACGCAATCCTCATGCACATAGTTGTTTTTAGCATAAGTACGTCCATTTTATCACCTCTTGCGCGTGAGAATAGTTACCGCAAGAACTTAGAAACTCTTAGAAAACTAATATTAAACTTTCATTTTTCTACAAATGCCTGAACTGTTGAATTTTTAAAAAAAAACGTGTTGGGAATTTTTCGGCCGTTTTTCCCCACTTTTCAACTCATACTTTTAAAAGTGTTCTTTTTTCAAAGTATAAAGAAAAAAACTCAAAAAGTGAAATAATAGATTTGGCACTTACAGTGGTTTTATTGTATAATATGTCGATGCATTCGAAATTTTTGGTTTCTTTCAGCTCTGGACCCCGTTAAATATCATCCTCTTGAACCTTGTTGTCTCAGACTTCTGTGTTGGTTTGATGGGCAATCCTTTTCCACTGATATCTGCAATTTATCACTATTGGATTTTCGGTACTACTTGGTGCCAGGCCTACGGATTTTTCATGTCTCTCTTAGGTGAGTTCTCTCATTCAATGACCTTCTCAGATCAATCATTTGGGTTTGGGCTACAGCCCAAAAAATACAATACTCAAAAAAGTGTGATTTAACACTCTGGATGTAACTTAAGTGTACGAGAACTTGCAAAATGCTGGATTAACTGCTGCAGCAGTTACTTTAGCAATCTCGAGATGTGAAGCTAACTGCCGTAGCGGGTAATTTAGCATTTTGAGGGTTCTCGCACACTTTTTTTTACATCCAGCATGTTAAATCAACTTCCATTTTGTTCGGTGATGCGATGAAATCATTGAAAGGGAATTGTGATTAAATGTAATAGAATTTCAATTATTTTACCGTAAAATGGCAATATTTTTACATAATTTCGTCAATGAATACCAATTTCAAACGATCAACACGACGAGTTCCATATATCAAAATAATTCGCGTCTAACGGGGACTTGTTACTTATTTCAATTTTATTGCAATCAACTTCGTAGAGGTGTGTTCCTTCGATCCGTATAGGCAATATACGCATCACTTCGATCAAGCAGCTATACTTTTTCCATTTAATTGAGGCGCTTGGTGCTCGGAGACTAAGGCGCATAAGAACAGTTTTTGCTATTTAGAGAAATACATATTTCAAGCTTCAAAATTATATGGATCCTTATGGTGGAAAGGAAGTTCAATCTGACTTTTTGATGCTTAAAAATTGGAATTTGGGAGTGAATTTCACATGATTGGTTTGACTTGAAATCATTAAAATGCCAATTTTTTTTTCAAAAACTGCATTTATTTGTCTTGTATTTCAAACCTCTCAATCGTAACTAATCGCAATATGTGCTACTTAGAGAGATAGCTCAGGAACTCTGGAATCAAATAGGGGTCTCTTTGGAAAATTTCTAAGCACAATTGGTATGAATATCTCCTATGTGATTCTTTCACGTAGAATTCGAATTTCGACTTTGCACACGGAAAAAAACTTGAACAAAATCCGCCATCTTGAAAAAGTTGCCAAATCCACGTCAAAAAGCCAAAAAATCCCACGGAATATACATTTTTAAGCAAAATGAGTTTCGTTCAAAATTAAAGAACGTTTAATTTCCAATTTGACCGGTCTCTTTCTCATAACGTGGAACCAAAATCAAAGCCTCAGTGGGCCAATCGAATTTCAGCAGAGCTTCCATCAAACAGAGCATCTCAATAAAAACCGTCACTTCATTTGCCAAATCTCAATGAAAAGCTTCTCACCCGGCGTTCAAATTATTTTTCCCGCAGGACAAGTACGCCCTTGGACCGATTGGGGTGAGGAGGGGGGGGGGGGAAAAAAAAAAAAAAACCAATCAAAAGTGGGACGGGCGGCTCAACAGGTCGCAAATCCGAGACCTCTGTGAAACCTAATAAGCCTCCGAAACCGAAAATACAAATATTGAATACGGGAGGCAGCGGGATCTCCGGGAAGAATAATCATGTGCCTCCGTTGCGCCTTCCATTTCCATGGCGGTCCATTCTTCTCCGACGGCGGCGCGGCGAGTCAGCCTCTACTCGTGACACTGTAACTCTACACCAATTATCCCCGGACACGGTTGCGCGGTCGCCGGGATCCCGGGGAAAAACCGGGGGAAACCGGGAGTTTTCCGCGGGATCTGGGATCCGCGTCCGGGAATGTTTTGCGTCCGGCGCGTGGTAAAAAGACTGTTTATTCTGCCGAGGTCTTTTGAGGGAGCGGGCGGGGGGAGGGGCTGCGGGGCGCGGGGAGGCGGGGCGACTTCAAAGGGCGTTTCGAAATGAACAGGCATTTGAAAAAATGAAAGGAATCGCGAATCCCCGCCTGGGCGCCTCGCTCCCGAGACATGCATTTTTCCACTTCAATCCGGATGCTAATCAGTTGCGCATCACAACAGAAACACGAACAAATAGACGCTCCCAGGCGTACCGTCAGCCATCGGTATTGTGCTCACCCTCCATCGAAGCAATGCTTATCTTTTAATGTTCCTCCATTTCTTCTAGTTTTTTATTTTTTTTTTTATTTTTTTAGTTTTTTTTTTTTTACATAAATAGCTCTCGGAAAATTTGGGAGGTGATCCCTGCGCCTTTCCGATTCTTAATGGACCACTAGACAAGGTACGAATTTCAGCATTCTGATACATGTTTCTTAACCAAAATTTCACGTAGAGCACGATGCGTACAACGAAAATTACCGAAATCAACTCCTCACAAAGATATTTAATGATTCTTAATGCGTGGATTCAAACCACCCGTTCATGAAAACTCGATGCTCTACGTGATTCACATCGCACGCTAAACGTTATCATGACAGTCGCTGTGATATAAAAATCTGGCAACCTCAATCTTGACGTTTTGGCTCAGCTGTAGCAAACATAGTTGAATGTATAGTTTGAACAACGCATTTCTTGTGAGCGGGCAGCTCAAATTCCTCGTAACCAATGTGAAATAAAAACGTTGATATCTTCGTTAGGAGTTGGTTTCAGTAATTTTCGTTGCGCGAATCGTGTTCTACGTGAAATTCTGGTTAAGAAACATGTGTCAGAATGCTTAAATTCGCATCTTGTCTGGTGGTCCATTGGACGTATTTGAAGCGCCGGGAACGGGAGAGGCATTCCTTGGTTGTAGTGTCTCAAAATCCCCGCTGACATTTCATCCATTATAATTTAAACAAATGAATGAAATTCGTTAAATTTTTTACTAAATTTTCTTCGTGACTTTACAGTGGTAAAAACGAAAAATCCCAAAAAATTCTCCCAATATTTTTCTCTCTAAAATAGAAATTAGCACTGGAGAATCTGGAACACTGCAACCAGGAGAAGCCCTTTCTGCACCCAACGCCTCATTTTCGCTAAAAGGAACTAATGATGGGAGGGAAAGATGGGGTATCCTCGTAAATGCTGAACACATATAAACAATAAAAATGTGCGTGATTCTTTATTCCTAGTAAAATTCCGAACATCGCAGGGTTGAGCTCATCGATAACGTATACTTATTTAACCATGCAAATTTTTTGTAGTCAACAAAAGTCCTTGGTCAGAATAAAAGATTTCGAACGCCATATATTCATTGGCGGATCCAGCAAATTGGCGACATTGTTTTTCTCCATTTAAACATATGGAAATGTATCGATTCATGGAGGGGACAGGTGCTCCGACAAGAATCGATTATTTACGTAGGTTTAAACGGAGGGAATCCGGTGTTACCTAATTGCTGGATCCGCCTCTGACGGATATAGGAGCTGCAGAAATGCTCGGCGTCTGCATGCAACTATTCGAGCTCGATGGATGTGCGTGCTGCATACATACAGATTTGAAGGCGCCTCGACTTTCTTTTGATCTCAACAAAAGTGGCATTTAGAAACATGCAGGATGGGTGTCACGTCTGTCATGTTTGAAAGTTTCCACGTGTTATGTGCCTCTATGCAACACACCAACGGTGAAATTGCAGAAGTGTAGACACGTGCATCTCGAGCACGCAGTGTTTCAAAATCTCCGCTCCAATTTTATTTTAGCAAATGGGAACACACCAGTGGTATTACTTGGAAATTTCACGGAATATTTCTCACGTAAAGATGAAAAACCAGAGAAGTTTTTGAGAAATAGCGTCAAGTACTTTTCTACTTGAAAAATAAAGTATGACGGACAGTTTATAACAGGTCGCAACTGAGATACGCGTTCTTGCAGTCTCAACGTCGACATTCATTCGCCTAGCGTATTGAAGACTCTTTGATGACATATTTTTCCATCCGACCGACAGAATCGTCATCTAACGATTTGATTGCGTCCTTCATAAGAAATCAAGCACTGCTATAAAAAAAAAAATGAGTCAAGGATAGCATTGAGCTTGTCTGGATGCAAAATTCCTCTCGCCGAAACTTAAGTTCACCTAAAATGATTAAAAATGCAAAAACTCAAGAATTTTTTTTTTTAGATTTAAATCTATGGAGAACTCAAACCTATTTTGCTTCGTTCCAAGTCCGTGCACTTAGGTCCTTTCAGTTGAAACTGCTGTCCAAATGTGACTTATAGAGCACTTATTCGACGTTCGCGTGGAATAGAACCGAATAGTTTCCTTTTCTCTTTTTTGACCGATGTGCCACACGTGGCGGTATCCATCACTGTCTGTCCATGAAAATAAGTGGGTGGCGGTGGCGGTATACTTTACGTGTTCACACCGGAATAGCAGAGTTTTCCTGCTTTGCGAATTTTCTGCATTTTCCCTATCCAATCTAGGTGAAACCGATTTACCAATTTCAAAATACCTAGTGTCGTTTGAAAGTGCACAAAATTATCTTGACCTTGTTCTTACTTGGAGAGTTGGCTATTCACTCTCTGGGAATCGATTTATTGAGAAAACTTGTAGGTTTTTTAATTCCGATTGATGTGGCTTGCCATAATATGTTCATATCAATCCGAGCACTAGAATATTAATCCTTTTTTCTCAAAGCATCTGCCGGAAATTTTCTGGAAAATAAAAAGTAGACCAGTCCGTTATTAAAGCACCACAAAACTAGATCAATATGACCATTTTAAAAAGTACGTTTTTAACGTTCCTATGCGTTGTGATTAGCTTTTTGGAGGAAAAGTCAGTTACTGAGAAGAGAAATTTGTATGAATCGAAACGTTTTGCTTTTTGCTAATTGCTTTAGGCATTATACATTAATTGGTTTTGCATATTTGCTTTCCATCACACACATATAAATAATATAAACTCCAACTGGACTCGACCGTGTTTGAGAGGATTAATGTGAGGAAGTCAAGCGAAATGGCCCTTAAGATGGAACAAATAAAACGAGGTAAAATTGACCCTCTGAGAGTATTTCAAAGCAGTAAAATGATACATTGCGATTTCAGATGATAGATAAAAACTCAGATGAAGTTTGGCGGTTTTCAGAACGAGCTATGGAGAGTTGTAGTGCACAGAATGTTCGACTGAGACATGCAAATTTTGATGGGTAAATTGACAAATTATTAGTTTTAAGGGTTGCTTCGTCAAAGAAAATGAAATAACAT